TTTGTGCTTTATTCCTATAATATTTTTGTTAAGCTTCTTGAAAGAGTACTTACTACCTTTGAGGTAAATATGGTACTTATGATTCAATCAGTATGTGAAATCTGAATGGGCAATATTATTACTCCCCTAAAAAGTATTAGTGAGCTGGATACTTTCACATTTTATAAAATGCTTGACAAATGGGTGACCCAACCCATTATCAGATAAACGCAGACCAGTAATAAATGAATTTTGCCATTCTTCAAATAGCTCTTATTTCAAGACATAGTTGGAGTGAAGTCTTTGACTTTGTTTCGTTTCTTACTCAACTTATTACTCCATATATGTTTATTTGGCACTCTGTGGTTCTTGGGTGGTTACTGAGGTAAAAGCCAAGGGTCCAATCCGTCTGGCCTAGAAGACACAGTCTTGCAAAAAGAAAGCACAACCATCAAATGTTGACTTGTCCGGAGCAATTTTCTCTTTCACTGAATGACACAGAGTCTATTTACTACTTGTAGGTGCAGACACCAACTACTTTATACAGTTTATCCAAGGATATGAAATATATCCTTCCTTTAAAAGGAAGAAGTGGGTATCTTTTTACCCCGTAATCCTCACCATAAGGTCACTCTAATACACCTTCAACTAGATTTGTTTTCAGAGGATATATATTGAATTTCAGAGTTGCTTGATCACCCAGATCAACCACGTATTCTGTGCACAAGTCTCCCGCACCATTATTTAGGTTATGATCCAGCTGTGTGGGGCATCGGAAATGCACTGTCTCCTGAAGAAAATATTGCCTTCAAGAACTCTGTTCAAAAGTTCTTTCTAATCTAGGTGGACGTCTGACCTCCCAGGGAAGCAGTATAATATAGTTTGATATAGTATAATATAGTTAAATGGCCGTGGGAATCAGAGCTGATTCATATCTGAGGTCTAGGTGGGTAACTTGGGGCAAGTTTAAACCTCAATTTTCTCATCTGTGCAATGGGGATAATGGCAATTTCAAGAGTTCATTGAGAAAATCAAGGGAAAGAGCAAATGTAAAACACCCAGAAAGGTATCTTTCTTGTAGTAGGGCCTCAGGTTTTCTTCTGGAATTTTCTCCTTTTATGCTAATTCTTTCCACCTGAACTATACAGAACAAGTCTATATTTCTTTCCAACTCCACTGTTGTATCTTCCCTGTCTCCCTTCAGCTATTCCTCAAATGACATGATTTGGTGGGTTTCTTCATCAAAGAAATGTCATAGAGTTTGTTTCTCTTGAAGAGTGATGCCTAGAAGCAACACAATGCTTCAGAAATAGTCTGATTAGGATAAAATGGGCCCTCTCCTCCCATTAATGCATCTTAAGGTCAGAATAATTTGTTTCTTTGCTTCTTCCCTTTTGAGGGCAGCCGCATCATGCATTTGGTGAGAATAATGTGAAAATAGTATCCATGGTATCAGATATTTTATTTTTTAGAATTTTGATGTAACTTGTATCTGTTCTGTGTATAAGGAAATATCTCATTATATACATAGAGTAGAAGTTGTTAGGGTGAATTCTTCTTTGTGTTAAGGTATATTCAAAATTTCTTTTTTGCTTTTTTCGTGCCTGGTTTTTTAAAGTACTTTATATTCTTTTCCCTTTTTAATGGTATAACCTATATATAGTTTCTAAAGATGTGCTTTCAACTTTTAGTCATGCTTATCTTCTGTTTGCCTAAAGAAAATGTGATTTGGCAATGGAGAATGGAATGAAAGCAAAGTCTGTGCATGTTTGAAGATCTATTGCTGAAGTAGCTTAACTTGACCTTGAATATTTTGAGATCTTTCAGTTATGTTCGCACATCTCTTAATACATAGAGGCACAGATTATTGGATTGGACAAAGGATAATTCTCACTCCATTATGAATTAAGACTATTAAACACTTCACATATAACTAGTTTTGTATGTGGAGATAAGTATGAATATGTGTGTTTATTTTACCCATACTGGTGATCAGCAGTATTGATTTTATATAGAGGGAGTTATATATGTAAAAAGCACAGTTACCTGAAAAACTATGCAGTTTGAGACATTCTCTTTTTGAGGTGAAATGATATAGGTTATTTTGTTTGATTAAACTCTTTTTTACATTGGTATCATAATCTTTGAATTTGTTTTACCAGATTCTTTTCAATGAGACTACCAAAAAGCTCTCTAAGAAATGTCTGTGCCTTATAGTTCTGAACCTAACCTATAAATTGGCAATAAGAGACTTGTAAAACTCATATATGAGGTCTGCCTAGTGTTAATGTTTGAGATTTATTTCCCCCCAAAGGTTCATAAACAGTATTGACAAATATATTGCACACTGCAATTTTGACATGGTCATAATGTAGGATGGGAGGTTTGAAAAGTTTAAGTAAACATCTAAATTGAATTTGTTAGATATTCTGCAGCAAGAGTCCTGTTAGTTGCTAGCGTCAATTTGGTTTTATTGAGCATTTTCCAAAGAAGAATACACGTCTCTTTTTAGAGCCACATAAGAAAGCTATTGCAAAATAAACCCCAAATTCTTGTCTTTTCTGCCATCAGTTAGAGAGACTTCTCCATTCAAAGACTCACATCTATTTTCAATCGTTAAAATATACTTTATTTTCCTAAAGAATGCAATCTCTAAATGACTTTCCAGAGCCCATTGAATTTGGGACTCGCTTTTGCAAAGTGATTTGCTGGTTGTTGACACTGTCTTTTACTGTCAGGGATCATCAGTTTGAGCTAGTCTTTCTGTTTTTCATACATGCTTCCCATTTTGGGTTAAAAATAATGGATACCTGTTTTTGTAATTTATTTTATTAGCTAAGAAGTAATTAGCATTAGCTATAGCCAGACTCTACAGGGAATTGACAAGACGGTCATTTTCTTTATGGAGCTTACCTTTCAGTCGCTAAGATAATCACAGCTACAGGTGACTATGCTATGAAGTAATAACTACTCTCATAGTCCTGCGTAACAGAGCGCCGTGAACGTGCGGGCGAGGGGAAAATAGCTTTCATGATGGATCGTGTAACATTTTCTCCCAGTCAATCATGCAAAGCACAGAAACAGAGATGTGTGTGGGAAGAGAGAAATATGTGAAAATAATTAAGTCTCCTGAAAAGGTTTCAGTAACAACTATTCTAATTCTTGAGAATTATGACTTTTAAACAGATAATGAGGACATACCTTTTTATTTTGAATTATTCCTCGTTCGAACTCTTATTCAATTATTCCTCCATCTTTAATTTTTGTTAATACCAAACGTCTATAATTTTAAGCTCAGAGATGCCAATTTTCTTTTTATAGGGGGCCAAATCACAAGGTATTTGTGGACATACGTGATGATTATGAACCCCATTTTTTAAAAATACAGAGTTGTATGGGATTGGGAACACTTAAGTGATTTGTTTGTGTATCCAAAAATTTATTGAACATCCATCCTGTGCTGGTATTATATTAGATGGAGAGCAAAAAGAGAGCTGGACTTTGCTATCGTGGAGCTCAGAGTCTAATCATAAAATCCCTCCAGCGTGAAATTTTTCCATTGAATTATCAACTCAGAAATATGCACTTAGACATGTACTAATAAGACACATTTTGTGTGGAGATATCACCAGAGTAAAAGAAGTTATATATAGGTATATATATATGTGTATATATATACATATATGTGTGTATATATATATATATCAGGTTCTTTTTTTAACCCAGGCTTTTTGTTTGTTTGTTTACAAAGTTGTTCTTCAAGTTAATCTCCCATAAAGGTTTTTTGTACCTTTGGTCTTCATGTATGAAAAAATGAGATTGTCTAGGTTGATATCTACAATAATAGTATCCATCTCACCTCATGGTTTCAAAAGTAAAGGATACTACATTAAATTTAAAACATTGAAATGATGTCTCCAAGTCAGGCCATGACAAAACAGGCTATGGAATTACCAGTTTGATGTTTTCTTGGTTCGTGATGATTTATGCAGCTATTAATTAGCTGACATTCGTTCTGAGTGGAGTGTTGAAACAGACAATGGTCTGATTAGGTATCCTGTCAAAATGTATGGTGTGCAGGGTTGTTTTGTGATCTGCAGATCTCAGGTTATTTTCCTCCAGATGATAACTTGTTTAATGAGAGATTACAATGAGTAATGGTAGCAATGAGAGAGCTGTTCCTCAAGTTTTTTTAAACAGCCCCAGATGCCACAGAGGTGAAAGGAGAGTTGGTTGGAGGGGGACAAAAATTTGGCCCTCTTGCTCCCTCCAGCGCCCCTCCCTCCCACCCACCCCTCCCAGCTCTCCAGACACAGAACAACTGATGGCGGGGACAGGGAGTGTCCAGGCCTCTGATGCCAGCATTGCAAATGACATATTATGTACTGGCCTTCTTTAAAAATGTATTTTTCTCTTATCGTGAGGAAAAAGGAAAATCTTTCATGACAGCTTTCAGTTGTATTCAGTCAATAAGCAGGTGAAACACTGAAACCCATCTTATCACTGAATTGCTTATGAATTGAAAGTAAAGCAGGATCAGAGTGTAACTGGCAAACCATTGTGGATTTGCTGCTTTCTTTTTCCTTTTTCTTTCTTTCTTTCTTTCTTTCTTTCTTTCTTTCTTTCTTTCTTTCTTTCTTTCTTTCTTTCTTTCTTTCTTTCTTTCTTTCTTTCTTTCTTTCTTTCTCTTTCTTTTCTTCCTTCCTTCCTTCCTTCATCAAAGTAGATCAGATATTTTAGGAATACGCCCAATCAGAGTTCAACAGTTGTGTGTAAGCCCAACTTGAATTTCTCCTGCCTCACCATTAGCCTTACCTTCCATGAAAGAAATAGACCATGCAGTGTATGTACCTATAATATTTATAATTAGCACAGTAATCTCATATGAAACTGTAATATGGAAAAAAGTTGTAGTAGTAATTTGATGCCTGTGGAATTTATATTTCTAATATCGTTGTAGATGTTAACATTGTGTTTCTTCTTTTTCTCTTCCCTCCCTCCTGCTCCTCTCCTGTCAACAGTCCTGGTACCTGGGCTAGCTTGGTTCCTTTCCAAGTATCAAATAGGACACCCATCCTACCGGCAAATGTCCAAAATTACGGTTTGAACATAATCGGAGAACCTTTCCTTCAAGCAGAAACGAGCAACTGAAGGAAAATGAAATACAACAGTAGTTTAAGAAATTTAAAAAAAAAAAAAAAAGGAAAAGAGGAAGACTGGACAAAACAAAACAAAACAAACAAAAGGGAGAAAGGAAAGCAACTGAAGAAAGAAGATATATAGACCAGCAATTGCAGCACTTACAATCACTAATTCCCTTAAGGTTGAAACTGTAATGACATAAAAAAGGGTCGATGATATTTTGCTGATGGTAGATCGCAGCCCCTGCAACGTACGTAGCCTTTGTTACATGAAGTCCGCTGGGAAATAGATGTTCTGTCTCTATGACAATATATTTTAACTGACTTTCTAGATGCCTTAATATTTGCATGATAAGCTAGTTTTATTGGTTTAGTATTCTTGTTGTTTACGCATGGAATCACTATTCCTGGTTATCTCACCAACGAAGGCTAGGAGGCGGCATCAGACGTGCTGGGTGACCGAGCCATGAGCCAGCCATTTTCTAAGCACTCTGATTTCTAAAAGTTAAAAAAATATATATATAAAATCTCTGTAGCCTTTAGTTATCAGTACAGATTTATTAAATTTTGGCCCTTAACCCAGCCTTTTCCAGTGTGTAACCCAGTTTGAAACCTTAAAAAAAAAAAAAAAGAAAAAAGAAAAGAAAAAAAAAGAAAAAAAAGAAAAAAGGAAAAAAAAAACAGTTTGAACACAAAGGCTCTATGGAAGAAATGCCTCTATGTAGGTGAAGTGTTATCTCTGCATGCAACAGTAAAAATTAATATAATATTTTCCCCACAAAAGAAACACTTAACAGAGGCAAGTGCAATTTATAAATTTATATCTAAAGGGGAATCATGATTATAAGTCCTTCAGCCCTTGGACTCTAAATTGAGGGGATTAAAAAGAATTTAAAATAATTTTGAACGAATTTATTTTCCCCTCAGTTTTTGAGGGCATTAAAAAGGCATTAAATCAAGACAAATCATGTGCTTGAGAAAAAAAAAATTAATGAAAACACAGCACTTATGTTGGTTTAGCTGCAGCCTCCTTGGAGGTAGGATTTATTTATTTAAAATTACTGGTTGCATCAAGAACCCATAGGGTGTACGTACAAAAGGTTCTATAAAATCTGCATTACAGAGACAAAGAGGCAGGCAAATCCATGTCACAAGGGTAAAGCGTACAGTTTACAAACTGGGAACGCCAGGGTGTAGGATATAAAAACGCACTCTTGAGAAAACAGATATAATGAGGGTGCTGAAAACTTGCATGGTGCTTTCAGACATTAGCCTTGTTCAACAAATTTCTTGTATTGACAGATCTGTAGTGTGCATGGGCAGACACATTTTGCCTCTATGTCTCTTAAAATTTTAATTAAAAATACTCTTTCCAGTAATCCTAATTTGCACGAAGATATAATGTCCACATTACGTGCCTTGCCTTGAAATCTAAAAACAAAAAAAAACAAAAAAAAAACAAAAAAGTGACATCACTACACTTGTTTTGCTGCATTTATTATCATTTTAAATCTTTACCATTTTTATGACAAAATATTTTGTACTCCAGACGAAGAAAAATGTGTGACATCATGGATTTTTTAGACAGTTATACCTTTATCTCACATTTATAAAGCATATCATGGCTGTGTATAGTTGCCGCTTAAAAATTGTAATCGACCAGCAATATTTTCAGTATTTTGGTGTTTTTTCTATTAACCTTTCATGTTTTTCATCTTCCAATTAATATTTGGGGGGGAGGGGTTTCAAATTTATACGAATTATGCAATACCAAGTTTTGCCTATATGTAGGTAGTGCTTTTAGCTGTATTGGTTATTATAGGTAAGTACACAGATTTAAACAAAAAATAATGTATGCTTTTTTTTGTTTGTTTGTTTTAATTGACCAAAGTGGGTACTGCTATTTTTGCAGTGTGATGAGGTCCTTTGTGTACTGAGAGATGGACAGGGGATTTTTTTTAATATACATATATATATATTCTGGGGTGGGTGGGAGGATTTTTAACACTTTACAGTGTAGCTGTGAAGCAGGGCACCCTGAGACGGGCCTGGGCTGCAAATCGACTGTTCTGTCTACTGTGACAAACTTCAACTTACACAGGTTCCCCCTTCTCTAACTTCCCACCTGGGGTGCAAGCTGAACTCCTTTCTGGTTTTTGTAACAACAGAAATCGTAAGAACAAGTGAACACAAAAAATTCTCCTGGAGGCAGACTTGGCTTAAAACAAACTGTCATATCTTTTTTTGTTTTGTTTTGTTTTGTTTTGTTTCTTGGTTTTTTTGGTGGTGGTGGTGGTGGTGGTGGTAGTTTTTCTGGAAAGTTCCGGATTCACAGTGGAGAGTGAGCCTGTCTCATATTTGGCAAAAATATTGGTGGAAGAATCCACATAGTGGAGGTTTCACGCTTTGGGGGTTTAACACATGAGTCTGTTTTCTCCTAAAAAACCCATCATCCAGCGGAGGGAGTGCTCCCACATTCTTTCTCCACCACTTCTCTTCCCCCATTTCTTCCTTTCGTTGATGGTAGTGGATGATTTACCTGTGACTCACTACTTCAAATGGATGGCAGTGCACTTGGGTTTTTTTTTTTTTTTTAATACATCCAGAGGATTGCTATATTAAATGTATTTGGACTTCTAGATTAAAATCAAAGTTCAGTTTTTAAGGAACAAAAAATTTAGTAAATCTTGTTACGTTTTCATTTTACCTGCCCTTTTAAACGGAGAACCAGAGCAGAAGGGAAATGTAGAATTTTCAGAAATTAATGTTCCTGTGGACGAATTAAGCCCATTAGATGCTGATGGGATTTTTTTAAGGGATGGTGCCTCAAATACATATTTGATTTAGTTTCCCCTGAGGGGTAGTGGGTGAAGGGAAGCTGGTTTTATTTTGCTCTTACACCCCTCCCCCAGCCCCCCAGTCCCATTGAGGCAATTCATTACTAGAAGGAAAATCTTTCAGAATTAGTGACACATGGAGGGCTGTCTTGAGGAGCCCCCTGACCCCCTTCCCCCAGGCCACGGCCTAATAAAATAAACTGTCCATTGTTCTCAACAGCATATGATTTAATAATGAATACTTTAGAACAATGCTTATGGGTCTAGAATTGTATTTGATTAGCCCATTCAGTCTGATAGCCCCCATGCCGAATAGCACAGCAGGATCCTAGCCACGCAAGTTGGAAAGTAAGTCCAATCATTTCTGTGATACTTACCCTGATACGAAACAGCTCATCTCAGCCAAGCTCTTCATGTATCTTTGACCTAGTAGGTGAACAAATCGAACCTCACAGGACTCGCAGTATTTTTTAAGGGCAGACTCGCTCTCTGTCTTTTTTTTTTTTTTTTTTGCCAGAGAATGAGCAGTTCTAGCTAAGTCAGTTACACACTGTGGGTATTCCTGCCTGCCTCTTGAATACAAAGGCCTAGTTCAAGTGTTGCTTTTTGGTTTTTTTTTTAATCCATTTTTTTTTCTCCTTTCCTTTTGTGAGAAAACTATTAAAGATACTACTATCTGTAGAAAATCTCAAATCCCATTTTTCGGCCTCCTCCTCTTTTACCAGGAAGTATATCTTCTGACTAAGGGCCCCACTCTTGCAGATCTTGCACGCCCCTCTCTTCCCCAGAACTGCAGAGCTTCAGGATGGCGAAGGTCACCCAAGGGCATCAGGAGGTCACCTGCCCCCCTGTGTGTTCGGCGGCGGCGCTGTTTAGCTGTCCCTTTGCGTGGCTTTGCGGCCACCACTCACAGTGCCTCTGAAGTTTCCTCTGGAGTGACATGAGCGTTGGAGGCTTGTCTAAGGGAAAAAAAATAAAATGAATAAGTAAATAAAAGGCAGTGAAGGAGACTGTACATAAAGACATGGCAAGAATCTTAATTATAGCAATATAGTTATGGGGTAATGTTCAGGTGGGCAGCTCCATTAAAAAAAAAATATGTGAATGAATCTGTGAAGCTGCAAAGTAGCAAGAAGAGCGAAAGATCTTCTTAATGAACCGCCTACCTTGTAGACAGTAATTTGTACACTGTATAGTTTTGTTAAGA